GTATTTGGCTCACCTGTCTCCTAGGTGTTACCAGACTCAGTAGACAGGAGAATCCAAGATAGGCAGTGAACACACTTTGGAACCTGAGGCATTGTATACTTGTATTGTCACTGTTTGTCATTGTACTACCTTGATGGGCATCCTAGGGTCAGACCCTGGGGTGTGGTCCTGGCTGGGGCAGGTGATGGGTGCTTAGCCTGACCTTGGGTTGCTAGAGCAGAGATGGTAGCTCTTGGTGACTGAGGGTGAATCACAAGCTCCCCCGCCCTTCCTGCTGTGGGCTCCTGGGATTATATGGCAGCCTCCCTTTCCTGATGTAAATTCCCCATCCGGTTCCCTCCCCTTCTGCACAGATGGAGGAGATGAGAAATCCCCAGTTCTCTGTAACTCCCTTCTGGATTCCGCCTCTGCCAGCGGCCTTCCCTGACAGAAACCAAAGGCCAGGGTGTGACCCTGAGAACAAGCATGGCCTGCTCTCCTTGGGCAGACCCCTTGGACAGCACCGAAGGTCAAAGGGCATGGGAGATTGTCCCTGAGCTCACCCCTTGGCCGTCACTCTGTACTTTGGTGGCCCAGCAGGGGTGGTGGGAGGCCAGGCAGACACTGGACCCCGGCTGCCGCCCCTGCTTTCCTAAATGCCATCTCTGTCCAGGGTCAGATTCTGTGACCAAATAAATGACTTATTTTTTGTGTGTGCAGATTATAATTCTTTACGCTAGAATCCCAGGGCTCAACCAAAGACTGCTAAGTCAGTGAGGACCCTGGGCTGCAGCTGAAGACAGGTGAGGGGCTTCCTGGGATGCTCCCCCTTAGTAGGGAAATCGGTATTCCAGGTCTTCCAGCCTCCACATCTCCTCCAGCCCGATGGACACAGTTCTCTGCTGGGGTTCCTTGCGCCGTACTGTGATCTGGATGGGGTTGTTCTCGGGGAAGCTCTTCAAGTCAGTGGCCACGGTTGCAAACTGAAACAAAACAAAACCCCTCAGAATTCCTTCTTAGGCCTGACCCTGGCTCACCTTTGTCTCTGCCACCCCTTGTTTGTCTGGTAAATGGGATCTTAACCTTACCAACCTGTGTTGACACCAGAAACAGGTACAGAGGCCCGATTCAAACCCGCGCCTCTCCAGTTCTGTGAGGTTTCTAGCCTCAGGGCCGTTTGCCCTTGGGCTGCTTCCCCCGAGCCCCTGCCCACTCCAACCTGTTCCCTTTTCTGTCCCACTTTAGCCTCTCCTCTGTTTCCCTCAATGCTCTTGAGTTCCTTGCCCACCCACAGTCATTGGTACTAAGGTGAAGAACCCCAAAGGCCAATAACTTTGGAATATGAACACTACAGAGAAGAAGACCAAGTATGTTAGTAACCCTTAAACCTCCCAGAAGAAAGCAGTGTGGAATAGATGCTCATTTGCCCAGGCAGAAGGGAAGCCAGCAGGGACTATAGGGGTTCCCAGCCTCCAAAGCCCCTGGTTCAGACTTCTCTCCCCGACCCCTAGGGCTCCTCTTCTCCCAGGGCTCACTCTGTAGGGCTTGCACCACTTCCCCACCCCAGCTGTGTTGGCTGCACGGACAGTGACGCAGTAACTTGTGTCAGCCTTCAGCTCCATCAGCTTGACAGTGGTGCCCAAAATCTCGTTGAAGACCCAGCGGTGATTTTTTGCTTTGGGCAGCTTGTCTCTTGTCTTGTCTGCCTCGTGCAACAGGAGCTGGTAGACGCTGACCTGCTGCTTGGTGAAGGCATAGGTCCAGGAAATCTAAAGGAAGAGAGCCCCCAGGCTTCCTCAGCCCTGGTCTGACCTGTCCTCCCCTCATTCCCCGCTGACTCCCGTGGGTCAGAATGCCCCCTCCCGCCCCCTGCCCTGGAGGGGTGGAGCTGAGGCCTGGCTGGTGGGAGGTGTAAAGCCTTCTAGTGCTAGAT